GGAATCAGCGAAATGTCAGTGTGACCGAGCGGTCCAAGGTGCTAGACTCAAGTTCTAGTGTGTTCGCACTCGCGGGTTCAAATCCCGCCGCTGACAGTACAAAACCTTTTTGGAAGCTGTTCCGTCCATCGCTTTCGTATTTCTTTATGCCTCTCCTTGGCGGCGTTGGGCCCGGCTACAACTGCATTCGCGCTAGCCTCGAGTAGTAGGATACTCGATATCTATAATGGTATTGTTCGTGGAGCAAGTGGGTCGTAGTTGCCGTCCAACCGTCAGTTCCTCGAGCTCCTCCTCTCTGAGTTTGCGCAAGAACTGCCTCGACATCGCTTTCGTGCATTTCTGCGAGAATGAAACAACAAGTCTTACGACATTCCTTCGCGCGGTCGCTTCTCTCCTTCTTAAATTCGATCTTGGCCAGGATTGGTTGAGTTCTCAACTCGCACAACTGCGTCATCACGAGCAAACAAATCGTACTACGATTAATAGCGTCTTTCGAAGTGGCGCTTAATCGAGCGTCGCCTTGAGGTTGCTGTCGCCGCTACTTGCATAAAGCGCGTCGATCACCTTGGCGTAGACGACCTTGGCATCGTGACGCTTGAGCTTGAACGTCGGCGTAAGCAAGCCGTCCTCCACCGAGAAAGGCGTCGGCTCGAGCAGCACCGCGCGCACCGTCTCAAATCCGAGTAGACCTTTCTGCTTACTGTGCTTGGTCAAATTGTCGAGGACGGCGGATACGATCTAGCGCAACCATCAGAGACCAGCTAGTGAATTGAGCCATATACCTCGGGGTTACGGCACCAGTCGGCCAACGACCCACCGAGTTGCAGTGACGCAGCAAGCGCCGAGAGAGCGATCTCGTCGGGGACAATGACGGCCACGAGACTCGACCGGAAGCTGTCGCCGTGGTCAAACGCTCGGCTGCTATCACCGCAGTCATTTGAGAAAGGACCGCACTTTCGACAAATCTCCATCGCACTCCGGTGCCTATCGAACGCCGTAACGGGCTGGAGGGGCTAGGTTAAATGGGGGTATTACGACACGTTTATGGGATTAGGCGGTTGAATCGAATCAGGACATGCAAATACGACGCTCGAATCGAATTCCTCACAGCGCAAACCCGAGAAATGCTCAGCTCTTCACGTCGCCGGAGGCTGCTTGAGCAGCGAGATGAATGCGCTGAAGCTTTTGATGGCGGACGTGATCTTTGCGCTCAAATATTCCTCTCGGCCAATCTAACACGTGGATGCCACGCGTCTGTCCAGGAATCCAGGAACACAGATCTCGAGCACTTCAACTGCGACCAGTGTACACCAGATCAATGGTCAATAATCAGATTATTGACCCTTGACCAGATAGCCTACACCAGATACCCAATGATGTAGAATTGTTCAAGTGGGTGCACTCGTGCACACGATCGCAATCAACAGGACGGGCGACTTCGTACAAAACCAGCAAACAATATTCACGACGTTACCGATTTTGCCAGCAATGGACCACCCTGTGAGTACTCTCTTCCAGAGCTTAGCTCGCACCGCGCGGCTGCATCCGACGCGACCGTTCCTTGGCCACCGCCCTGTCGACGCCAATGGTGACGCCGCCCCCTACGAGTGGCAGTCGTATGCGAGCGTACGTAGTCCCAAGACGTATGCTTGTTGGTGATTTCCCGTGCTCTAGTGCTACGAGCGTATCCAAGCCATTGGCTC